TGAAAGGAAAAAATGATTTTCTGGATATGGGAAAAATTATTTGGCAAAATTCAACACCCATTCATGACAAATTTTGAACAATTTAGAAATGAACGGGTTATCTATAAAAGCCTAAGAGCTACCGTCATACTGGTGAAGACTATTTTACTCCTAAAATTGGGAGGAAAACAAGAATAGGTGCTCTTTCACTTCTGACACAATTTTGTCCCTGGATGTCCTACCCAGTCCAATAAGAAAATAAATAAATAAATATAAGCATCAATGAAGAAAGTAAAATATTTTTTACTTGTAGAAGACATAATTAAGTTAAAAAATGCTAGGTTTTGTTTTTTAAACTAGGGATTGGTCCCGGTGGCATTTCACCATTAAGCTATGTCTCCAGCCATTTTTCATTTTTTATTTTGAGAATGGGTTTCAGGCTTAGAGCCTCACTAAGTTGCTGAGGTCAGCCTTGAACTTGTGATCCTCCTGTCTCAGCCTCCCAAGTCACTGGGATTCAATATATCCTTAAAGAAAAGAAAAGGAAAAAAAAGCTATTAAGAGTATTAGAGCACTGAGAATATGGCTCAGTTGCCTAGCATGCCAGAGGCCCTGGGTGTGGTTCCCACAACCTGAAAAAAGAGAAAAGAAAACACTGAAATGGAGAGAAATAACATGTTCATTGAACTAAAGACAATTACTGAATTGTCAATTCTCCCCAAATTGACTTATAGATCCTGGTCAAAATTTCATTAAGTTTTATAAGCATAAGTCTATATGGGGATGCAAAGGCTTTAAAATAGTTAATACAATTTTAAAAGAAGAAAATTGCAGGCCTCATACTACTTGACTTCAAAACATAAAACCACATAAAGACAATCTGGTGCTGAATGTGGTAACCAGGTACTAGGGAGGCTGAGGTAGGAGGATCACAAGTTTGAGGCCAGCCTCAGAAACTTACCAGGACCCTGTCTCAAAAAATAAAAGGGGTTGGGGATGTAGCTCAGAAGAGCACCTCTGGGTTTAATCCCCAGTATACCCAAACAAAACAACATGTGGTCACTTGATTTCTTTTCAAAGTACAATTACAAATTTCAGTGGCTAAGTATAGTCTATACAATAATTAGTGCTGAAAAATTGGAGTTCCCAATACCAAAATATGAACTTTAATCCACACCAACACAATATACAAAAACTCATTTTAAATGTACCTTTGCAAGGTGCAGTGGCACATGCCTGTAATCCTAACTACTTGGAAGGTGGAGGCAGAGGAATGCTTAGCCCATGAGTTTGAGATCAGCCTGGATAACACAGTAAAATCCAATCTCAAAAACCAACCAAACAAAAATCCATAAAATGCACCATGTGTCTAAATGAAAACATAAAGCTTTAAAAAAAAAAAAAACTTAGACCCAGTGAAGAGGGTAAATTTTGAACACTTCACCAAAGATGTAGAAATAGTTACTAAGTACATGAAAAGATGCAGCATCATTGTTCAATAGAGAAAGTTGCTTAAAATCACAATGAAATACCACTATGTGCCTATTCAACTTGCTAAAATTTTAAAAATCGGTCATATCAAGTGTTCACAAGGATATAGAACAATTCAAATTCTCATACACTTCTGGTGGTAATATAAAATGGTCAAACTTTGAGCAGCAGTTTTTTAAAAAGGTGAACACATCTACCATATAATTCCAACTATTTCACTGGACAGTTACCCAAATGCTACACAAAGTAAATGAAAGCAAATATGTGTGCCAAGATTTTACCAAGATGTTCATGGCACCTTTATTTGTAATAGTTAAACACTGGAAACAATTCCACTGTCCACAAACAGTGGAGAGATACATCAACATTTATTTGATACATCCACACAATGAAAGGCTTCAGCATGTAAAGCTAATACGTTATTGACGCATACAATAAAATGATTTTTTTTTTTTTTGGTGCTGGGGATCAAACACAAGGCTGAATGAATCTCTCAAAAGTTATGTTGAATGAAAGAAGATGGTGTTACTGCATGACTTCATTTGTTTAAAATTCTAGAAAACAAAAATAATTTATTGTGACAGCAGATTAGTGTTTGCTGGGGAACTGACAACACTGCCTAATGAAAGGAAGAGGAAGGAATTAACTTTACATGAGGAAATGGGGGTAGGAGGAGTGGATATGTTCATTTTTTATTTTAGAGATGTTTTCACAGGTGTGTGTCAAAATTCATCACTTTAAATTGTTCATTTTAAATATGTTCTGTTAATTGTGGGTCCATCGTATCTTAATAAAGCTATTTTGGTTTTGTTTTCAAGGGCATTTCACAACCTGGGTGAAAATATTTGTATAAAGTATCTGAGAAAGGACTTGTATCCAGAACACATAAAGACATTTGAAGTCAATTATGAAACAAGCATCCCTGGTTTAAAATGGGCTAATGGTTACTAGAGATATGAAAAACTAAAATCACAATGAGATATCACTTCATACACTATAATGGCTGGCATTAAAAAAGACTGACAATATCAAATGTTGATGGTGATGTAGACTATCAAACCTTCATATATTGCTGTTGAGCATGTGGAATAAGTAACAGGAGCACTTTGGGAAAGTTTGGCGATTCCTTCGGAAAACAGGGAAGTGGATTTAAGAATTCCCCCTCCTTTTCGGAAAGCAGAAGTTGGGCTTCTAAAAAGAAAACCCAATCCAATTCACTCTCTGACACAGGAGAGTTAAAAGCAAGCCACACAACGTTGACGAGGGGGTCCAAGGAAGAACGTGAGGGCAAGTGAAGAAGGGAAGATGAAGGAGGCAAGAAAAAGTGAAAGAGGCAGGCAAAGGTCATCTGGTGTGAACTTGGCTGCCCGGCCAGGGCGCAGGGCAAGCTCCCAACCAACCTGGCACCGCTAGCGCTGCGAGGACGACTGGCAGAAGAGGGCTATGGGCACCTCCAATGCTCGCATTGGGCCGGGCTCTGCACATAGGGGTCTCCAGGAAGGAGGCACATTTTACTCAGCCCTAATCTCTAGGAGCAAGGAGTGGATAAGTGGAGCTGAGAGAGGTGCCGTCCCTGTCCAGGCTGTCAGTGGCCCCCTCCGGCAGTTCATCTCTTAGGTAAAAAGAAATGTCATGAAATGAAGCTGGGGATGCAAGCGCTACCGTGTAAATCATGCAAATAATCTTTCAGCGCCATGGAAGGATCTCAAGGATGTAGGTGAAAATCAGATTCATTCTGTCCTTCACAAATGAACTTGACCTGGAGACAAAACAGTTTCACTTGACTACTGTATTTTCTTATCAGTATAGGTACTACTATAAGCTCATGCCAGCTAGCCTGAAAATGGGACGATGAATGGGTAAAGCTAATAAAAAAGATCTCTTGTTGGAAGCTGGACTTCAGTTAGGAAATGAAGATTAAATTAAAAAGCAAATATTCTGAACTTTATCAAACAGAAGCTACTGTTAGCTTCACTTCTAAATCCTATCAGAATGGTAATTAATATGTATTTTTTTAATGGTGTTTCAAACAACAACGACAAAAATCCCACAAAACTCTTAAATCTTGCTTTCTGAATTAAGACTACTTGTATGGTTTACTTTAGACACATTAACATTACACAATTTCATGGTGGTGTTATTGACATTACTATTATAGCTCTGAATCATAGGGTCTTTCTGATTGGCAGTTTGAATCTGGGAGTGCCAAATCCATTCAAAGGCTAAAAAATTTTCCAGATTCTGTTGGTGCCATAGTTTTCTGGCAACCTTAATGGCCTGTTTCATCACAGCTTTTCAAACTGTTTTACAAACATAAGATGGGGAACTGTTTACCCTTTTTCTCAATGCAGTTCTCTTTCCTATGTAAAGAGACTCTAGAAATTCCCATTAAGCCATGCGCTGTGTGTACGTTCTGGAAGTTAACTAGTCCAGCTAAGGGACATCTAAGATCAGAGACATTTCACAAATCTAGTTGTGGAAGAGCCCAGAAATATTTCAACGCCACGTGGTGGTGAACACCTGTTTCAGGATGAGAGGGTTTATGAAATATGAAGCAAAACTAGGAAAAGGGAGTTGTGACCACGGTTCTAGGGTTCCAAATCCACCGTGTTGTTAGGGGTCCCTCACGTCTCCATTCCATATGGGCGGCCCTACACTTCCAGAAACAGGTCTAGTAACCTAAGCTTGGGTTTCCAAACTTCATCACTCAATGCCAACACTCTCTTGCCTCCGCTGGGAGATCCACAGGGCATTTCTGGAAATAACCATCTCTAGTTCACAGGAATCTTACGATGTTTCAGATACAAAACAACAGGAAATCACAGCCTACGAATTCAAGTAGTGTTAGGTCGACAAGGATCTTGCAGTGAAAGGGAAATCAGAGACCTCTGAATTGTCTTATTTTTCCCCCACCTTCTTATGGAGACAGCCTCTTTCCTTTCTTGCCTTCTATTTCACGAGGAGCTCTCTAATAATTTCGAAAGTTTTCCGTGCCCTCTTCCTCTTCATTTTCTCCACTTCCAAACTCCCATTGAAAGACATGAAAAGCAGAACAGAGACCAGGTCACAAAGAAGTTTCTTAAAACATCTTCTTTTCTGGGTTCTCAAGGCGTCCCCTTTAAGGAACCAGGCCCACCTCTTTCCCAATCACGTACTGGCTTTCCTTCTTGCCCATCACTCTACCTTTAAGAATGTTTCCTGTTCCTTCAACCCAACTTGCACACCTCCGCCCCCCGGCTCTCCTCATTGGGCAGCCCGAGGCCCGATCGCTCCTCGGTTTTTTCCTCCACCTCCTGCCAGCTTCTAGCCCAGCGCGACGGCGTTCCTGCTTCTGATTGGCCACCACAGTAGCCTTCCCGGCTCCGGATTGGCGAGTTCCGTTACAGGGGCGGGAGCGAAGTGCACCCAGGGTAGGCTGTTCTGGTGCTTAGCGGCGGCCTCGGGAAGGGCGGGGAGGGGCGGGGGGGAGGGGGGCTGGGAAAGTTGAGGCCGCTCTGCCGCCGGGTCTCCGGCCTTGAGGGCTCGGGCTCGCAGCGGCGGCGGTGGCCGCAAGAAGAGGCGGCGGGGGCGGGGGGAGAGGAGGGCCTGGGCCCGCGCTCCCCCAGCCCCGAAGGAGCAGGCGGCGGCCGCGGACACAGAGATTCGCTAGAGCGGTCAGACACCCCTGCTTTCCCCGCCTGGGATCATGACCCAGGCGGGGGTCGCCGCTGCTGCCGCCACTACTGCGGCTGAGACCACGCAGCCCGCGGGTAAGTGACTGCGGGAGGGGGCCGCTGACAGCCGGGGCGGGGCGCGGGGGCCGGGGCTGCGGGGGCGGCTCCGGGGGGCGGCTCCGGGCTCAGCTCCACCCACCCCCTTCTATGCTCCCAGAGGCGAGGGCTGAGCAAAGTGTGCCTTGTTCCTGGGGACCCCTGTGTGCGGAGCCGGGCCCGTGCGAGCGCTGGAGGTGCGCGCACCCCTCTTCAGCCAGTCTTCCTGGCGCTCTCGGTGCCAGGCTGGTTGCTGCGCCCCGGCCCACAGACGCGCGCTGGTCGAGAGAGGCCCCATGTGGTCCTGGGTGCATAAAGAGCCTGGCAGCCCGGTTCACACCGGATGGCCTTTGCCTGCCTCAGTCACCTTTTCTTGCCTTCTTCATCTCCCCTTCTTTCCTTGCCCTCAGACTTTCCTTTGGACCCCTCGTCAAAGTCGTCGTATGGCTTGCTTTTTAACTCTCACCCCTATGTCGAAGAGTTAAGGCTTGCATTTTCTTTTTAGAAGCCTATCTATCTTTTGCTTTCCGAATAAGAGGGGTATAAGCAGATGATCAATCTGTTTCTTTATTTCTCTAAGAAACACGAGGTTTCTGGGCCCTTGTTTAAAGGTTCACCAGTTTGATTGTTGAGTTCTCTCCTACTCACTCTTCCAACCCAACCCACCCTTTTACGCTGTGTTATGGGTTTTTGTATTCATTTACTTTATCTGGAAATAAACGAATAATAAGCCCACATACCAAATCCTAACTGATGTGCAGATAACATTTCTGCCAAGCAGATACAGTGTACTAACACCGCACAAAGCAAGACAGTTTTGACCAACTTTTCAGGTAAAGGGATAGTAGAGGTTAGGAAAGGCAGCAGAATACAACATACACTAGGATGGCAGTAGGTAAAAAAGTGGATGTGTAACCGATGTGAGTCTGCATTATGTATATAGGGTAAAAATGGGAGTTCATAATCTGCTTGAATCAAATGTATGAAATATGATATGTCAAGAACTTCGTAATGTTTTGAACAACTAATAAAAAAAGAATATAGTTGCTTACTTATTTTTTTTTGAGAGGGAGGGAGGAGAGAGAGAGAAAGAGAATTTTTAATATTCATTTTTTAGTTTTCAGCGGACACAACATCTTTGTTTGTATGTAGTGCTGAGGGTCGAACCGGGCTGCACGCATGCCAGGCGAGCGCGCTACCACTTGAGCCACATCCCCAGCCCTAGTTGCTTACTTATAAACAATGTCCAGATTTCTTGAGTGAAAATTATGGTGAGGAATAGTGACCCTGGAGCATTTCCCCACGTTTACTTTAAGCAAAAAGACTTGCTTTTTGAAAGATCAACAGGCTGTCACACTCTTTATCGTCTTGCCTTTTTCCTCCCCTTGTAGCACTCTAGTTTAATGTCTGAGTTGCTATGTAGGATACATGTGTTTCCTTTTATTTGAAGTGCTCTGAAAGTATTTGTTACAGAATAAGTAAAGTACATTGTAATCATTGGACTTCTGAAACCAGGAGTGATATAATGTTTCCAAGCACTGCAAGAATGAATACTTTATCTCACATTTTGCTGTAATCTAAGCAGTATGACTTTTGTATCCTTTGGTATTAGATTCTTTTTGTATTTGAGAGTTTTATAAAATTTGCACATGGGTGCAGCCTAGAACATTCCCAAATAAGAAAGCACTGCACTGCAGGGATGCAAAGGGAGCTTAGAATTGAAATCACAGAAGTGAATTTCTAAAGTTGCAGACCATACAGCCAGTGAACTAGCTGTCTATGAGAAACTGGTGGATTCTTTTTCTGTATTCATAGCTTTGCCTGTCAACCGGGGGAAGAAACATGAAGAAAACAGACTGTTTAACTTAGCTTAGAAGATAACTTTCAACAGGTAATCAGCCCAACACTGTCGTTTAAAAACAGTCTTAAGTCAAGCTTGAGTCTTAACCATATCTCACATATGTTATCTTTCTGTTGTCTATCCCAGTGGTTTTCAAACTATACCGCACATCACCTTGTGTGACTTTAAAATTTAAGACTCATGACATTTCCCCCCAGAAGTTACTCTTTTTTTCTTTTTCTTTCCTTTCCTTTTCTTTCTTTCTTTCCTTTTCTTTTTTTTTTTTAACCACCAGTGATTGAACCCAGGAGCACATAACCACTAGGCCAAATCCCCAGCCCTTTTTTTTTTTTTTTTGGGGGGGGGGGGGGCTACTGGGGATTGAACTTGGGAGCACTCAACCATTGAGCCATATCCCCAACCCTTATTTTGTATATTATTTAGAGGCAGGGTCTCACTGAATTGCTTAGTGCCTCACTGTTGTTGAAGCTGGCTTTTGAACTCATGATCCTCCTACCTTAGCCTCTGAGTTGCTGGGATTGTAGGCATGCACCACTATACCCAGCTCAGAGGTTACTTTTGACCTGGAGTAAAGGTTACTTTTGACCTTGAGCACATCTTTTAAAAATGTCCAGTGATTCTGTTCAACAGTACTAGGGCTGAAAATTCCCATACTTCTAGAATAATATACAAATTGCTAGGCAAATATTATAGTTTTTCTAATGCAGGTCTTCACTGTGTGCCCCTACTGTGTTCCATTGTGAACCTTTGGAACAACCTCAGTGTGTGTGTGTGTGTACACACACACACACACACACAATTGAGATTCCTGCTTTTGTTAACAACATTGCCATTATAAGGATATTGGTCCTTCTCTCTGTAATCTCCCTCCTCACCAGCAATAGTTTTGATTATACTTTTATGAAGGTTTTTCCAGACAGCTTAGTCTAGTTCTTAGTGATTGGCTCTCTTTAAATTTTCATAATACATATCATTTAAAAGATTCCCTTAGTGTGCAAGCATGGTATCGTTTAACTTCTTATGTATACATGTTTCATTAGGCTCCAACTTATCTTGATTAAGTCCCCAATGTTTCTCTCTGCATCCCTTACTAATATTGAATTCATATGTAGATGTCAGTTATTTTCTTATATTTTACTAATTTATTCAGTAGGTTATTTTCTATTGCCCCTTAACAACTTGCATGTATTTCTCCATTAGCACTTATCACATTGTCATAAGTATGTGTTTATCTACTTTTTCCTCCAGATTTTTACCACTGCCCCCAACCCCAGTTCTTCCGCATTGGTGGATATGGTTTACATTATATTCTTAAATACAGTGCAGTGTGGAAGAGCTAGAACCCAACAAACATAGGTCTGTGTTCTTTACCTTTGTATTTTCAGGACCTAAAGTTGCACTTGTCATTAGCAGGCACTTAATAAATGTGTGTTAAATGAGTAAATGACTTCCAGGTTATATATTATTCAAACGTAACTTTATATATATTTAGCATAGGTTGAATTGGCATTACCTTTGCTATTAAATATGATGTTCTGTACTTCTACTATGGATTTACTAAGAATTAGTAGAGTGTAAGTAATTGTCTAAGTAATTACAGTTGTGACAGATCCCTTAAATATATAATCTTCTATCCAGTGTGCACAGACATATGCACCTTGAATCTTTTGCTCTGAGCTTGTTATCCATAAAATATTTGTGGAATTCTTGCTAAGAGAAAAGCTGTTAACTGTCCAATTGGATAATTTTTCTTTTTCTCATTAAATTTGCCATATGGGTACAATTGCAGTACTTCAGAAGGCCAGATCTTTTAATTAGATCAGTAGGACATGATAAGTTACTCCTATTAATGTGCTAATACTGCGTTTTTAATTCAGTTCATCAAGTATTTATTGAATACTTACCATGTGCCCAACACCATTAGGTGCTAAAGAGAATACAGAAGACATAAAGTAGTAAACTTGACTCATAAGATATTTTCAGACTTATTGGGAGAATTGGGGAATACTACATAAGATGCTAAATTAAACCTATGTACACAAGATCTATGATGTAATAATTATACTGAAAAATTAGCAAAGACTAGATATTCTTTCAAAGGACATTGATTACACTTAGTACTGAGTACTAAATGTTGAGAACACAAATATAATATATGTGATTTCTACCATTTAGAAGCTTATAGCTAATGGGGAAAACTAATTAGCATATAGAGTATATTTCATGTTAAAACTTTATGTCATGATGTTTGGAACTATGGAGAAGGGTAATCTAATCCAACTTCTAGGGATCAGAGAAAGTTTCAAAAGAGGACAGTAGAAGTTCCCATTAGAGAATCAAGAATCGATAGGGGAATTCAATTCAAAGGAACAGTACAGAAGCACGGAAATGAGAAAGACATTCCTTGATTAAGTACCTGCAGGTAGATTGATATCACTAGAAAGTGGAGTGTTAAAGGCGTAGACTTTGGAGTCATACAGATGTGGTTTACAAACTTTTGTATCTGAGGGTCTGAGCCCTTGAAGATTTTGCCTTTTTGAAAAACTGTCATCTTCTGGTAACTTCACTGCTAGTCTTAGTACAAAGAGGTACCCTAAGATTCCTCCAGTTTCTATATGTGCTCTTTGTAATTTCCCTTTTATCTATTGGCTGGCTGCACGAGGAGACACAGATAGCCTTACTTCCCTATTAATGAAGCCATCTTGGAATTTCCTGGTGAAAGCATTCTCATATTAGCTATGAGAAGGGCCAGAGCAGGGAAAATTGTGAAGTAACTGTGAGAGATAACCACTTCTACCTCTGTACCACTTTGAGGACCAGTTCTTTTTGGTTGTGAACAATAGACATTGATTTGGCTAACTTAAGCTGAAAATGGGGCTTATGGGTACATACTGGATAAACCCAATGAAATGAAAGAAGGCAGAATACTGAAGTCTCAGGAATGTCTGAGAACAGAAGTTTCTGGGATCATGTTAGTCTGTGGATTAACTTAGACCCAGCCAGCTTTCTTTTTTGTGTAAAAGTGTTATTGGTCAGCTACATTCCCACCCCTGAGGTGAGCCAGTATGAAGTTCCATCAGAACTCAGAGATGGAGCAGATAGCTCTCCAAAAGAAAAATGGGGTATTATTACCAGAAGGGCCAAACAACAGGTATTTCCTACAGACTCATTAGGTTTGGCATTGTAGTCTTTTGGTGATCTTGGTGTAAGCAGTTTTTAGAAATGAAAGTTAGATGACAGCTGGTTGAAGAGTAAATGGGAAATGAGGAAGAGGGAACAGTGAGTGTAAACTAGTTGTTTAAGAAGCCTGATGGTTGGGAGGAAAATAGAAAGGGAACACTTAGTTAGAAGTTCAGGGGGAAAATAGTTTAGGCTTTTAAGTGGAAAAAAAAATCAAATAAGGATCTATTTTAATGAAAAAACACTAAATAATATATGAGAGAAAAGAGATTATATAGCAAGTTTATCAAGTAGTTAGAGTTGAGTATAGAAAGGGTTTAGTGTTAGCTAGAAATCTGGGAAGGTTTTATAGATGAGGACAAACTTGCCCTGGACTTTAAATGGTTGGTGGGATTTGAGTAAGCAGAACAAAGTGGAAAGGGTATATCAATGAGAGAATAGCGTGAATTTGGCAAAAAAGTGAACTTGTTGATAAGGAGCATGGGGAAGAACCTATTTGAATTGGAGAGGAGGGAAGAGTTAACCCTGTTCCTCCATGTGTTATAACAGTACATAGGTGGAAGTGGATGGGTGAGACTGGTCAGTGAAGAAGACAGAGTTATAAAAACCAGGACCCACAGTTTGGATGTGATGCGGTTGTCAGTAGGAAATGGTACAGTTCTCTGTTGGTATCTATGGGGGATTTGTTTCAGGACTGCCCCCAACCAAAAGATAGGAAAATTCAAGGATGCTCAAGTCACATATAAACAATGTACTATTTACATATAACCTATTACACATCCTCCTGTATGCTTCCAATCATCTCTGTTACTTATAATGCCTTTTATAATGTAGATAGAGTCACTCATTGCTTGATGATGGGATATGTTCTGAGAAATATGTCATTAGGTGATTTAATCATTGTGTGAACATCATAGAATGTACTTACACAGACCCACATTTGTAGCCTGTTTTCTTAGGCTGCAAACTTGTACACTGCTGAATGCTATAGGCAATTATAACAATGATAAATATTTGTCTAAACATATCTAAACATAGAAAAGTTACAGTATAAATACAAGGCAACGGAATTTTTTAGTCCCAGTATGATCTGGACCGCCATTGTATTTGTGAGCTATTATTGATCAAAACATCATTATTCAGTGCATGGTTAATATTGTATTGTTTGGGGGATAAGAAAAACAGACACCTCCCCCTCAATATTTTTTGTCTGAGATTAGTTGAATTCATGGATGTGGAATTGTTGGTTAAAGTTTGGTGTCACTGATTAAAATTGAGAATTTGGAAGTAGATCTTTTAAGAGAAAACACAATTTCATGTGTTTCAGGCAGACCTGTTTATTTGTTTTGAAATGAAATGTTCCAAAGGGAATTTTGCCTAACCAAAGATTTGGAGCAAGATCAGAGTTGAAAAGTAGTTTTATTTTATAGAACCACCATATGAACCAGCTATCCCACAAGAACTAAATTCAGCATACTGTAATGATACAACCACCTCAATGTTTATAGAAGCACAATTCACAATAGTCAAGTTAGGGAGCTAACACAGATAAGTATCAACAGATGAATGGATAAAGAAAATGTGGTATATGTACACAATGGACTTTTACTCAACCATAAAGAAGAATGACATTATGGCATTTACTGGTAATAAATGGATGGAACTGGAGAAAATCATGCTAAGTGAAATAGAATGAGAAAGTCAGAGACTGGAATGTTTTCTCTCATATGCAGAAGCTAGAGCAAAATAAGGAAAAAATGGGGGGTAGGTAGGGAGCAGATACCATAAAAATAAAGGGGAGATCAGTGGAGGAGAAATAGAGGATTCGGGGGAGGAAGAGGGAAAGGGAG